TCTCCTCAAACAGGGAAACCGTACTGGATTCAAATCGGTAAAAAAATATTCATTCTTTATTGCACCTGGTATTATTTCGACATGTAAAAATTGATTAAGTCGCTGCTATTAACAATTGATAACCGTCTTCTTTAACCTTGTCTTCGGAACATTGATATTTAGTTAACCTGGTTGTATAAAATTACGCGTACGAATCTTTAGATCGGATTCACCCAATAAGTTGTAGGTCAAACGTGTATTAAAAATATCTAACTTGATAATTGAAACTTGAAAGTTTCATCAAATTTCATTCAGTGGTATGAGAGGAGTTGCGGATAAGAGATGGGTACCCCAAAGCGTAACAGAGAGAGGGACGTACGGAAATCCAAATAACTATATACCCTCCAATTTTTAAAGCGGAAGGTATAATGAATAATCTTCATCGTTTTTGAATAAGTTTAGTGATGCAAGATCCCGATCGCGCAGTGATTATAAGAAAAAGAATGTTAAAAACCTGACTTTCTATAGCAACTTAATGATGGCTTACAGTTACATGTATAAAATTCAAACTTGAATTTTTCAATCGACACTATAAAGGTATCAAGTAATTTTACATCAATTCTAAAAAGTATAAGACAAAAGTACAGAAAACCAAGTAGTAAATACTGGCTGACAGACAATTGACAGTTAGATGGACACACTCGAAAAAAATTCCTTTAAGACAACCCCTCCCCAGTTTTTCTGGTTCAAGACAAATAAATAAATCATATCTAATCGAAACAAGCATTCTGAGAATATTGCATGAGTAATTTGTGTTCACTACCATCTAGAATAATATGTTTAATATGTAATATTTACGGTATTCAAGGATTTCATAATAGTATGACTAATTTTACACCATCGTTTCCGCGGGTTTTATTTTGTGAATCGTAAACAAGAACTGCTTACTCACTTAGGGTACGTTTGGAATGAATACCTTTTAAATAATATGATACAAAACAGCAGTACAAGGTTAAGAAAAATGGAAATTCCAATTCCAGTCTCCATTGCAATTGTCACTGAAGGACCATATCCGAAGTTTGTGTTTGTTTCATCTGAAAAATTATCCTTTCAGTAAGCTTTTTTTCATCTTTTCAATTTATATATTTAAAAAAAAAATTAGCCATCTTAAAAATATATATATATATATATTTAATCTATGTTATGTTTAAAAATAATCAGTGCAGAGCTAGACAATATAATATAAATAAGTTTATGTCCATGAATGCTAATAACATATATATATATATAAAATCTTTATCATTTTACCAATGTTCTTACGAGTTACAACACATTGTTCTCCTTCAAATGATTCCATGCATACTTGTGGACAAGATCCATTCATGTTATTACAGGTATCGTTAAACTTACAGTTTCCACTGCAAATGTGACCACAGTTTACGCCATAAAAACCAAGTGGACAATCTTAAAATATATAAAATAAATATGTTTCTCATTTTATCAACCAAAATATACATGAGCCACAAAAAGCATTGTGTCTGGTATCATCATCGCGATAGAGAGAGACAGTCTTTTTTATAAACCAATGTTTCTCGGAATTAAATTTAAGTAATCTACGTACATGAAAGTGTAATATTATGTTTATTATAATTTAGTGAAAATCCTAGTATCAATTTGAAAAAAAGTATGTTTTACCAGTACTACAGTTAGGAGAACCCATTACTCCATGTGAGCATACGCAGGTCCCATCAAGGGAATCACATACCCCAATGCAATTAGGAGAACACTTTTTTGTGCAATATTTCCCAAAAGAACTGGCTTTACACACTGTTGCGAAAAAAAAAAACCAGAACGTTAAATTATATACAAGTCAAGGAAAAACACAAACCACCACAAACAAAACAAGAAGCCCATGGGCCACATCGCTCACCTGAGCACATGGTCTAGTTAAAACACAGCTCAATAATAAAAAGTTTACTTGGGGAAGGGGGCTTTGATTTATTTATTACTTGAGAATTTTACTTTTTCAATAAAACAATCATGTATATCTTTTTCAACATAATACTTGACCTCCAATTGTGACCCCCCATGATTTGAATATAGGATGTAAGGATTACAAACGAACTGACCTTTAGGAGAGAACAATTTCCCAGAAAAGTGACACTTCAAATCTAATCTTTATTTATTGTTTTCTACGGTATATTTGAATAATTTTTTTCAAATTTGTATTTTATACCTAAAATTTATTATTTACAACTTTGCTATAAACCTCCAAAGTTGATATATGCGCTGTCAAATTACACTCACTGACTTTTTTTAAAGATTGGAGGTTCGACTCCACCTGATGCCATACTTTTGAAGTGTTAAATTTTCGCCTTTCAAAGATTAATTTAATATTTTTTTAAAAACTTGTATACATTGTAATTTGCTTTATTTATCTATCCTTTATGCATGCTTAATCATGATTGATATAGACACTCTAGAGATATCAAATCGTAACAATCTAATGTAGAGTTGTCAGTCAGGCGGAACAAGCCTCAGCATAAACAGACTTCCTGCGAGGACAAGTAATACTCACTCTGTGATACTCAAAAAAAAGAATTCCAATTGTATATATTCCTTAGAGTTTAATCACATTGATTTTGGCTAGTACATATATCAGTAACTGAACTCCCTTGGATTTGATTTAGACTAACATGTATATAATTTGTACACATTAATGGCATGTTTTATTATATTAACGGATAAAATAGCATAAACATAAAGAATAGAATTTCAGAGGCAGTAAACATTACCATTATGCACATTTAGAAGTTAAGACAAATATCAATTATTACATTTGGAGGCAAAAAACTCCGGAAATCAATGAAATGGTTTCTCGTACCTCTACTCGCTGAGAAAAAGATTTTGGAAAAAACAAATTGTAAATAAATATGTATTCAGCCTTATGTCATTATTCGGAACGATATCCACAAGATTTTTGTAGAGAAAGAAAACCAAGCCCGGTACTATAAGTACTATAGGTCAAATCCATATTTAGAATGAAGTAATCCTTTTAATCTTTTCTACTTGCAAATGCTAACATGTCAATTTGACTAAATATTACCATTCTACTTTTGAAAAGGTCTTTTCTTATCAATTCTTATGCAAAAATTTGATCTTTCCTTATATACACAACCTAACTCTTGGGGTCATGATTTGAACAAACCTGAACCTAACCCCCCTGGATGCTTCCATTAGTTCCATATAAAAAAAAATTGCTAATCATGGATTTACTAATCTCCACAAAAAAATTAATATCTATAAGTATATATTCGTATGTAAAAATTGATCCCACATTGTGTTGTGTTCCAAACCAACCCCAAGAATTCTGAGGATGCTTCCATATAAATATCACCAATCATGGCTTTGCTGTTCTTGTTAAGAAGATTTTAAAAGAATTTTCCAAATATATATATATATATTTCTATGTAAAGCTTTGATTGCCAATTATGGCCCCAACAAACACCAAGGGATATAATATGAACAGACAGGAATTAACTCTAACAGAGGATGTTTCCATATTAATATCACCAGTCATTACTTTAAAATTGATTTGTCCTATATATTCCTATGGAAAACTTTTAACATCCATTTTGGTTCTACCCTCTTCCCGGGGATCATGGTTTGAACAAACATGAATCTACATTACCTGAGGATAATTCCACATGCATGAGTTTTATCTTTCCTGGGCCAATGGTTCCGGAGAAGAAGATTTTAAAGTTTGTTTCTATATATTCCTGTGTAAAATTGTTATCAGCCATTGCCCCCCCCCCCATTTCCGGGGAGTATAATATGAAAAAAAACATGAATCTACACTACCTGATGATGCTTCAATAAAGTCTAATCTTTTCTGGCCCAAAGGTTCTGGATATGAAAACTTTTAAAGATTTTTTCTGTATATTCCTGTGTAAAACTTTGATAAGCTATTGTAATCCCCGTCCTACCCCCGGGGGTCATGATTTGAAGAAACTTCGATATTTCTCAATGAGTTTTCTCTTCCCTAGCACAGTGGAAAAGTATGTGGCCATTCAATTGAATAAACTTGAATTATAACTTTACCCAAGGATTCTTTGTGGCATTTTTGGTTCGATTTTGTCAAGTGGTTCTTGAGAAGAAGACGCTAAAAACGACAACGATGACAGACAACACACAAATTTGGATCAGAAAAGCTCAGATCACTTGGCTCTAGTGACCTAAAAAGATGTTTGTATCTGCAGATAAAAAAACATTATGCATTGTCAATTCGATAAAAAGCAAAGGGAAATAAGAAAATCAGCTACTTTAAAATTTTATTGATTCTACACATATTGCAAATTGCAAAATTTACCAAGAAATTGTTAAAATTCATATAAGCACTTATTTTCTACATTTATATGCTGAATTGTTTTTATTTTCCTATACTGTAGAATGTTTGAAACGTCTACATGAGAAGAAAATAACACTTGATGGCCCTTCATCTCAAAATGTACTGAGTAGAAATATCGACGACACATTATTGATTTCATTTCGAAGTCGATTCGATATATATCCAAGTGAACCAGTAAAAACAAAGCAGAGTCTCTGCTACAGATAAATAAGTTGATGTTACTTGGATTTCAACGCCTCGGAGAAAGCAAGTATGGATTCGTTCAGTGGTCGTCATAACATTGTTAGCGAATATATCCTTTTTATTTATCATATTTTGCTTTGTTACAAGAGTTGCTTTTAATACATATACCTACTTCGACTATGAAATGTTTCGTCAACGTAATTAAAACATAAAAATGTGTAACTGGTTAACAGGGTTTACTTCTCCTACCAAAATGATCCCACGCCTGGAATATAAGGCTTCATTTCTATTGCTCACTTCACATAACTGATTAATTCCTTATATTTTTCGATAGTTCAGAGTACGCTATTTGTATCTTCATCTTTTCATATAAATTTTTGATTTAGATAATATATGACTGTATGAAATAATAATAAAACTACGTAATTAGCTAAAGTACGTTTTTGACAAAATGACCCTCTCCATCCAGGTGTACATTCAAAGCAAGTGCCTGTGATGACGTCACATCTGTTTCCCTGACAGTTCCTAGAACAGTTCTTCCCACATGTTTTTCCATACATCCCTGCTTTACTGCAACCTGATGAAAATAAAAGTAACATATAATAAACTAAGCTATATTATTTAACATGTATCGCTTTAAAAGTCTATAAAGAGTATTTCATATATATTTTTTCGGTTCAAAGCATCTTGATATGAATAAGTTCATACTTAAGATAAAAAAAATAAATGTCACACACAGTGCCATGTATATTTTGGTTAGTTTTTCTAGGATATGAAAGGTTATATTTCGCTGTAGATTGCAGTGTTGCGATTTTGGTGATTACCAAGGTCTTCGATATCTACCTGCATTAATGTTGATCATGAATAATGTGATGAAACAAAAACGTACTATTTGCTACACCGTGTACAAAAACTAACCTTTCACAATAACTTCACATAATTCAATTAAAATTAAACGCTCATACTTTCTTGGATAAACAACTGTATCAAGTCGTTCGTTGAAGAATATTATATGAGAGCCATATCCACTGCAGTTTATTGTGAAGTCTAGGGGAGGTAACTGAGGTCCATTTTTGTAACAGAGGTGACCATCATCTTTATTGGTAGAATTTGATAGAAAAAGGGAAAATCCAACAAACCGACCTTGCTGTCTTTTTTCTACAAAAAATTCAGACTCAATTTTCTTTGATGAGTTTAAAAAATAGCATTTCATTTTTGTTATGTAGCATTATGAATACCGTACAAGTGGAAATTTTAGCGAGACGCAAATTTAGCGATTTATCCTTAAAAAATGGTAATTTATTTTTAGCGTTAATTTTAGCGATTTTAAAATGCTTACTAAAGAAGCTATTACAAATAAAATGTAATTAATTTTTAGCGATATTTAATTTAAGCGATCTCGGGACCCTCGCAAATAATGCCAAAATTAAATCCTCGCTAAAAATTCTACTTATACGGTAATATACTCCCTTGATTTGTTTATTGGTATTTTTCTCATTTTTTGAAGTAAGTATACTGTAAGCGACTTAAATTCCACTTTGATAAAATAACGGATTTCTTAAATAGGAACAATCTCGATTGTTTTAAAATTAATTTCACGCTCTATGGAATTAATCCAAAGTTCATATAAACATTGACACGTTTTTAAACGAATTTTAGCATTCATGATGGGTTTAACTTTCCGGAAAATTATTAATTGCGAACATAGTGAAAGTAAAGTCATCTTGATTATTTGCTAATTATAATCTACAGCATATTTCTAAACGCTGGTGATCTCGATTGTAGATTACATTAAATTTTGCAAGTAAACATTATTTTCTTTAAAAAGTGTTTCCTGCTCTGTCAGAATAAATACGTCTTCCTTATATACATTTTTCCAGTTTGTGAATTTTATCCCAACCTTCCTGTTGACTTGAAATCTGATCATGACCGATTTTTATTTTTATATCGTCTGCACAAAGATTGTGTTATATTACACATAGTTAACATTGCTCTCTAATTCAATTTACCGATTTCAAATACATGGTTCATCTGAGAGAAAACGGCTCAAAATGCACTCTATGGTATACTTGAAATTCTTTATTCTTTAATATAAAAAATCATAAAACAACTCGTAACTGTCCTACAACTACTGGGTGCATAATTCAAATGATCATCTAAATCTATTTGTTAATTTAAACATAGTAACATAGTTTCCTTTTATGATAATTATATTTGAATCGAAAAGAAATAAAATAAAATACTAGCATAAAATGAACAATACGAATCAATCATTTAAAAAATTATATACACACGAAATCCAAATGACTTTCAAATAAATTTAGTACTAAAGAAAATTAAAGGTAAAAGTTTCATGGTGATACAATATCAACAAGATGAGGAAATGTATACTGAAAGGAAAAAGAAACGCAGGGTAAACTTCTGAGGTGAATTAAATATGTTTTTCTTTAAATATGTTTTAGTTTTTATATCTAACTTTTAAAATCATTTTTCAAAAAGATATAACCAAATTCCCATTTGATTTTGTCTAATAATTCATGAGTTACTGAAGTTCAAATGACGATACCCCCCAAAAGTGAAAATCGAAAACTCATTATCTACAATGTCTCTCCCGTGCATCTGTCAGAGCCTTATTTCTCCTTTGCTTGGAATTTCATTAGAGTATTTATCTTTCAGACCCTGGCTATATTTGGCATGGGTAACAATGCAAAAACATAAGTCAAACGGCGTGCGCATGCGCCAGTGAGAGGAATTAAACAGTAAGTTGACTGGCTCAAAAAATCAAATTGCGGAATTGTTTCCTTTCAAATTTCGTATGAATGTAATGATTATAATCGTCTACTGTATAAATGGCTGTTTTTGTGGTAGTAAGGTGGCGATTTAAGAGATTGCAGGACGAATAACCAGCTCGTAACATGGCTCTGTTTCGCGTTAACATCATCGTCACGGTTGATTGAAGACCATTCCAGACCCTCTTTGACAACGGGTTACAAATTTTATGGGGGAAAATTTACAAAAAACTGCTTAATAAACCGTTGTTGCCTTTTTCATTAATTAGGCAATTCGAAAAAAGACCCCATTGAACTTCCATAAACTGTGCCAAGATTGCAAGAAATTCATAATGTCTCTTTATATTGAAAAACGATGTGCATACCTCATATGCATCAAATAATGTAACAAGATTTGTTGATAAACTCGTCGTTATAAAATTGCACGTGTTTTAGGCTTTTTAGCGTTTTCCCTACGTGACGTCATAAATTTTACGGTTGAGTAATTCTGAATACTGATTTTGGTGCACAGTAACTAAATTTCTCTTCTGACCAATTTTCGTAATTTTCGGTCATGTGGTCAAAGTGTTTTCAAACATTATGCTACCCTGCGTTTCTTTTTCCTTTCAGTATATATAACGGTAACAACTATGCGTCCTGAATAAGTGTCTCCAAAATGTATTTATTATTTCGCTGCTGAATGGTCTTTAAACCACAATTCAAACGAGCGTAAGAATTACACAAGAAAAAAAAACTAATAAAAGAAGAAACGAAATGTTGTGGTAAATGTGAAATGTAGCGCTTGAGAAGTCAGCAAACTTTACATTGACAAATAAGAAATCCCTTCATAGTGCTATTTATTGCAGAAGATTACTGAAGTAAATATTTTATTTTAAATCTGAACGGATTTTTTTTTTTTTTTGCTGATAAAAAAACTAATTTATGAACATACATGTGTGCTTGTAATCAAGTAAAGTATTTTTCTTATTTCCTTTTTGGTTTTGTTCTATATAATTATTGTATTATTTCCTTACCATTGCTTGAACAGCGTTTTTTTTTCCTTATTTGATTTAATCACATTTGAAATACATTGTAAAATGAAGATTTCAAAAATTGAACATACATAATACATGTATTATATTTAGCCAAAAACTTTATTTGAGGTAGCTTTAAAGAGACACGATTAGGGAACTATTTTCCGAGAGCTTTTACAAGGGAAATTCACCTTTCTTAATTGTACAGAACAATATCCTTGATCATTCATTCGCCATCACCAATAAAAATGCATCCTTATAAAGTCACAATTAAATATTTTAGATATACGCGTTGCTCTCTGAATTGATAAAGAATTATTTTTGTTACTAAAAATCAACAGTTTATTTGAATTTTTATTGACTCTCAAGATGGATTTTACATCAATTTAACATATATTTGAGAAATAATATTTTTATATGGTCATCAATTTGTCAAATAAATGTATAAAAAGAGTGTAGAGGGTATTAAAATTAAAAAAGAATATGTCTTAATAGTGATTGCTAAATAAAATGTGATTTAATCCAAATAATTCAATTTCTCGAGGTACTGGCGGAAACGACAAGGAAGCTTTTCGGGATTAGATTTCCCGAATAAACCATTTATCCTTATTAAAAGTACTTATTGCTGCATTGACTGAATCACTATCAACTTCTCAGAGAAAGTCGAATAATTTAAATAAATTTAAATAATTTAAACACTGCGAATGTAGAATTACCTGACAGAGAAAACAAAAACGAAATAACACCAGTCCACAAGCCTAATAATGAAGATTTACACACAAGATTTTGTTGACTATTAAATTGAGTAAACGTAAAGAAGGGAGAACCCTAATTACATGATTGTGTTTTTTTGTAAGACAATTTGTACAGCGTAGTAAATATTTACCACTTTTGTTAAAGTAATTTTATGCATTTTTTTAATCTGCTACCAATACATATCTATTGAATAATTATGTTAATTGCTTTAATAATCATCGGCGAATCCAGGTATTTCGTAAGGGGGGTGTAACAGTAGAAAGCAGTGGGTCAGTCGGCTGTACTGAAGCCCCCAGTGGGTCTAGGGCAAGGTCCTTTTCGGGGGCCGAAAGCTGACAGGTGCTTACAAATAAGTGTTGTTTTTCCTTGATTTTAGGATAATAGACATACAAAGTTTACACACAAAAATTTCAAAATGGGAAGGGGGCGGCCTTTGATAATTGAATAACATCATTCTCTTTCAAAACTTGTCCAGTTCAAGATTTACGTAATTCCTTCATTCTTAGAAATAGATAATCCTTGATAAGCACGTGCTGCTGCATCTTCTGCTTCATGTAAATCAAAGTTTATGTAGTTCTCTGGTTTGAAGGTATTTAACGTTTGATAGGAATGGGATTCATCTTTAGGTTGTTTTAATGTGTCTCTGCTGGTTATATATATTTTGGAGAGCCTTCTTTTTTCTATCCAGGATCTAAAGCCTGTTTTTCTGAAATTTAAGTTAAAATTACATGTAGTAATTTTGAGAAGTAAAAGAAAATGCATTGACCAAATCATGAATAGATACCAAAACATTTATGTGACTAAATATTCCGATTCTTTGGAATAAAAACAAAATTGGATACAAACAATACAAACTTATCCTACCGAAATAAAGGAACACCAAATGCAATAAGGATAATTACAAAGGCAATAGCAACGAGAACCCCGCCGATGATAAAAGGTTTTGAAGAGTTACTGTTCACTATTAGAAAAGACCCCTCTCCTGAATAAAACATATTTATGAAAATCAAATATATGACCTTAAAAATATTGTACTCTTGTTAATTACCAAAATAATTCAAACCGTTCTATAAATCTTAGTGAATTTTTTTTTTACTTACTCTGTTCACATATGTCTCCATAATATGTTCCTTGACATCCTTCCGTACAACTACCATTGAATCTATCACAAGTATCATTAGCACAGTTGGCACTGCAGGGATAAATGCAATTTTCACCATACCTATTAGGAGGGCATTCTAAAATTGTAAAATCATGTTTCTTTGGAACATATTGAAACATGTCGTAGAATGATATTTATTTAGCACCTTCATGTCGAGGTAAAAAAAAACAATATTCATCCATTCAATTAATTGTTCGAAGCTTCTTAAGAAGATATTTTATGGCTTCCTAAACGTTATATAAATTATGAGAAACTTAACGCTTCCAAAATTTTTTATCTGCAGTAAATTAAAGAAAGTGCTCTGAGAATATGGAGTTGCTGGCGTTTTTTTAAATTTCAAGTAAATAAGTGTCAATAAATTCGTTTTTAAATACACGAACAGTGAATTCTCTACTTGAACTGCAAATTGGGGAACCCTTCCAACCACTTTTACATAAACAGGATCCATCGATATGTTTACAATATCCTTTACAATTCTGAGAGCAATTTTTAGAGCAGTTTGCACCATAGAAACCCGCCGCACAAGCTATAATTAAACATTCGTTAAAAATATAAGTCGTTTTTAGAACTGAAGAGCTATAAGAAATGTAAAGTAAAGCATAAAAATGTTTGTAAATGTTTGTGAAAAATAATAATTGAAATTCTACATTACATTTGTTGCATATACTCCCGAGATAGCCATTTTGACAGCCATTAGGACAATGTCCATCTACATGGTTACAATGTTCATCATTGGCACAATGTCCACTACAACGATATCTACATCTTTCACCAAACAGACCACTGAAGCACACTGTTTAATTAAAAATACAATAAGAAAGAGAGTTCACTTGAAGGAAACCCTCAAAATGAAACTTGTATGTTGGAAAAGTGTAAGAAATCAAATTCAAATAGTAAAGACCTTTATTACAAAAAATTCCGATGTATCCAGGAGTACATCCAGAGTCACAGAAGCCTGTCTCTTTGTTACATGCGTTTCCATTTAAACAATGTCCGCTGCAGTTGAAAGCACAGTTTGGGCCAAAGCGTCCATAACTACATGCTGTTTTTGATAGTCATCAAAGATGGAATTACCGCTACTCATAACGATGAAAACGAAAAATCAATAATTCTAGACTAAATAATTTAAACTCACGTTCATTACACTTTGGTCCTGTCCATCCGGAAGCACAACCTTTATCACAGATTCCAGTCACCTTGTTACAGGTTTGCCCATTCATACAGTGTCCTGAACACCGAAGTTGGCAGTTGTTTCCGTATGATCCACTATCACACGCTATTAATGCATGTATAAATATACCTTTTTGAAAGGTTTTGAAAGGAGACCAAAAATGTAGTAACATATGCACTTGAGAAAGTGACCTTACGTGTTTGACAGAACTGTCCAGTCCATCCAGGCATACATCCCATACATGTTCCATTTATGATATCACATTTATTGTCTTCACAATGTTCAGAGCAATGCTTGTTGCACAATGTACCATATGTTCCCCTTTTACAACCTAAAAATATCATTAATGCATGTAGTACAATAAGTTTGTAACTGTAAATAGAAAGAGAAAAAAAGGAAATGTGATAATTTTCGAATATCAGAAATGAAGCAAAAATTAAAGTAAGATAAATACAGATGCGTAGAAAGCAACTTGAAACGCAAGTTGTACGTGCCAGGAAAAAGTAGAATTGCGATATCATCTGAGAGTTATCGGCTTTGATTTCTCTCGATAAGTTGGTGTTTCCCAATATTTTTACAGCTTGTTTGTTGATTATCTAAGTCAAATTCAAGAATTTGCAACTCATATGGAGACGCCACAACATGCCGATGGCGAGATTTTGGTTTACGTGTATACTCGGCATTTACGGTCATTGAGCAATGAGGGTTCTTTTTCCTGGTATATGTATCACTTATAATTACTGCGAATCGGGTAGCTCAGATTATCTAGTTTCCTCAAATGGAATCCCTTAGGGGGATATCGATAGAATTAAAAAGAACTCTTAAAATTAATGTGACAATAACATATTCCAATAATTCCTACCCATAGAGTTTAAGAGCCATTCTCTGTAATGATTTGAAATTTTATAAAGGAGCTGTGGCACGCATAGTCTCAGAATTTCTCCAAACTCTCTATGATAAAAGTAATTGATACCCTAAACTGAAATCAGGCAAAAATTGGTTGCTATGTTTTATAGTTACCATGGCAACATGTCTTAAAGTTTGAAAAATTGCATTTTTTAACATGTTTAGAGCCCCATACTTAAAGGTACTTGGACACAGATTAGAAGTTATTATTTTCTCTATAATATTACGACTTATGTATTTTAATATCATTTCACACAAAAATTAATTACAAATCTCATTTCGTTTAAAAGATATTGAAATTTCAAAATTTTCGGCGGGTTTGATTGATATATCCTTGCACTCTCACAAATTTAATTTTATTCTTAATCCTTAGGAAAAGTGGCAATCTCGTTTTGCATAATTGAAAAATATTCATACTAAAAGCAAGAAAATTCAGAGTAGACACGTTCGAAAGCAAAACAAACACACAATGTATTGTCAGTCCGTGCAGTTGTGGTAAGCAGACTGTGACGATTGAATGCACGCGGTGAATTCTAAATATAAACAATAACAGAACTCGAGCCCTGTTTACAAAAACTGTGTACATAACACGAGTGTGCTCGATTTGCTAAATTCTGTACGCATCTCTTAGTTCGGATTGACGATACTTGTGAAGGTGTTTTCCTTTCTAATATTTCTTCTCTGAATAGAATTATTTTTCTCGATAAAAGTTTTAATATTTCTCATTAAAACACATCGAAATTGCCACTTTTCCTAAGGATTAAGAATAAAGTTAAAAATTGTGAAAGTGCAAGGATGTGTCAATCAAACCCGCCAAAAAATTTAAAGTTTTAATAAGTTTTAAATGAATTAAGATTTTTAATTAATTTTTGTGGGAAATGCAATTAAAATATATAATTCGTGATATTATACAGAAAAAATGAAAAAATATTTACTTCAAATCTGTGTCCAAGTACCTTTAACATTTGCGGCAAAGCAAACAATCGGCAATGACTGTTTCCAAAGGTTGTAGGTCAGATGTCTCAAATGCATGATGAACATGTTTGGTAAATCAACTATTACATACGTTACTATGGTAACAAAGTATTCAAAAGAAAAAAAAATATTCATTGAATATTATAAAGTCATACACGTAAAAATAAAAAGCAATCATAGGATGAAATGTGACCAAATAATAGAAAAAAGAGCCTTGAAACATATACCAAGAACAAAATATGATATTTCATTTCGGTTGGCAATGGTTGCCAAGGTTTTTATACCACAGAGAGCCTTCGAAGTAACACTTTGTATGTTTAAATCTGATCCTATCTTTTTTAAAAAGCACATTTCCTCATAACTAATGATCAAAGTTTAAAGATGTTGGTGTGCTCCTAGTTTTCCTATTTGAAAAAATTCAGATTACAGTAAAACACGTTTAGTACGAACACGGATATAGCGAATTCACGGATATAACGAAGTGTTTCTGGGTCCCCGGCAAAATTCTTAACAAATCCTTGTAAAATTTTACGGTTATAACGAATTCTGATATAACGAATTTACGGATATAGCGAACTAATTTTGAGTTCCGTTGAGGTTAAATATAATGAATTTTACATCTTTTATAACGAACTTTCAAAAATTTCAAAATTTTAATAATTGAAATTACTTTCTTTTCTCTCAGCATTTGTATATAAAATTCAATTCATAATAAAACCTTAGTTATCGAAGGTATGTTTTGTAATATTTGCTTACCTAACATATTTGATAGTAACACTTGATGGAAAACATGCATATTGCGAATTCGCTATATATGGTTATACGAATTCGTTATACGGATATAACGAATTACGGATATAGCGAATTAAATCAACAGGTCCCCAGGATTTCGCTATAACCGTGTTTTACTGTAAATTCTTTAAATAGGGCGTTGCTACGGAAATAAGCAGAAAATATATGCTTCAAAACCTGAAAAACATTTTCCTTCCTTGGATACGTACCCTTTAATGTAGATTCCCAAAACTTTTATGATTGATATTTATTAACAGCTAACCTGACTCTTAATTTTGACTACCGCCCAATCTCTAAGTGGATTCAAGAATTTGGCACACAGGGTTTAAAATTGATATAAAGTTCACAAAATCGAACATTTTCCCTTCTTGGTAACCATACAGTCCCTGAAACGTTCTACTTTCCCATTTTCCCGTTCGCTCACAGTTCGTTCAGCGTTCGTTCACCGTTCGTTCAGCGTGCGTTCACCGTTCGTTCAGCGTGCGTTCACCGTTCACAGTTTTGCGTTCACCGTTCACCCTGCGCTCGCGTTCACCGTTCACAAAACGTTCACCGTTCGCTCTTTGTTCCGTTTACTTTGCGTTCACCTTGCGTTCACCGTTCACTTATCGTTCAGTCTTCATTGTCATTCGGAACTCCGAAGTGAACGGATTTATCTTTTTGATGGCAAGGATTTACACGTTTTTTGATTAGATAACTAAAATATCGTATTTGAAGAATAATTATTTTATTGCAAAATTTATCTACGATATTTATATTTCTATTATTATAACTAAGTTGTTACTTTATCCGTGAAATTTCCTTTAAATAATACATTAAGTACCCACATGTATGTAGAACGATGTTAAAATATTTAATTTAAAAAAGGGCAATGTACAAATGCTCGCAAGGCATCATCTTGTAATGTAAAAGACGACAAATTAAATTATTAATGGATGTATCATAATCCAAGAAAGACAAGAATACACAAAAAATTATTTCTACATGTAACACGTATTTAAAAAATTGCACGAGAACATATATACACTGTAAGAACTACACATAGGTCTGAGAATTATGAACAGTACAGCAGATATTCAGTTAATTAAATATCTCTAGAGCTAATGAAATTTATTAGCGTGATTTTAAATTTTAGAAAAGACCAACTGTTTAAAATGTAATACATTAGATTTTTTTGTACACTAAGTTCAATCTAATATTAGAGAGGGAAAATTCCTTCATTCACCGTACATGTACCTAAATATATGCATTTAATATAACTAAGAGCCCCCCACCCTTCTCCGTGTCCTATATCTCCCGATATCAAATACTTAGTTAGTATATCCAGAATATTTTAATTAGTATTTAATGTGTATTGTAACACAAAAAAATTAGTCTTCAAAAGAACATCAAACAGTCATTAAACAATAGTTTTCAAAATATACATGTGCCGACAGTAGTATTTTAAATTGGTCAATAGACAATTGTGAATTTCAAAGAAAAAATCCGTTATTTTACTCAGAATCGCGTTGGCACGAAAATACGTGTTTGGTTGTTTCAACCGGGTACAATGTAATTAATTCATTGTATAAGTAGTAGTTTTATCTTTTTAAGTCCACTATGTTTTATAAATTAAAAGAATAAGCATAATTATTTACTATATAAGTGGATTAATTTGTTTTTTAACTACACACAGTAACAAATACACGTTTTACTGTGATTAAAATCTTGTTATTAAAATATCGATTTAAACATAGGTTACAGAGAATGGCTATGAAATAGTAGAATAGTTTCCAGCTATTTTGTTTCAATCCTACATGTATATATTAAACTTCATTAAACATTATTGAAATATATCAAATATAGGTAGGATTATAAATAAATGCTTCTTATTTATTTAAAAAGTAAGTGCGGGTGTATAGTCTGAATATCTTAATAAAGGTTACATCAAAAACTAATTCAGTGTTGTAACTATTATCTTAAATAAATTCAGGTGGGAAATATTTTTAAGGACCAAAGCTAAAAATAATAATAACTGGGTGAAAAAGAAAACCAACAGTTTACTCGATAATCTATTCGCAACAGAAGTAGAACCACAACTTACATATTATACTCCATTCCTATGATACCGGTGGTTCTACGGTACCGGGATATTTAGGTCTTTCCACCTTTCCGTGGAAAGACCTATTGAAATTGTTCTGTTTTTTATTAAGGTCTTCCGTCTTTAGCGGAAGACCTTCTTGTTATTCTTAGGTTTCTTTTCCACTATTTTTATTATTTTTATTATTGTTTTTTTTTCTTACCGATTTTGTGCACGCGATTTCTTGGAAACGGCTCGATCGATTTTCATGAAACTTTCAGGACTGATGGAACATCAACCAAACCTGATATATAATTTTTTATTTTTATGACGTCACTTCCGGTTTCGAGATTTCCGCGATTTAGTGATTTTCAGAGGGTCACGTTGTCCAGCATTTTTCTCAAAAGTGCTTTTAGATAGAAACGTAAGATTTTCAGCGATGATAGAGCAAGATGTGCTGATGTGACGCATACCTTTCTTATTCTCCGGAAGTGCAGCACGTCGGCGTTCGCTATGGCTCGAAAAAAGATCTATCGAGAATTCAGAAATTTTTCACACATTTTTGGCAATATCTTTTTACACGTTAATATTTTGTTAAAAGATATAGAACAAAAATTGTAAAGAATGTCACAATCTTTCGAAAAATATCAACGTTTAGGGGCTAGCCCGTATAATAAAGGGCCAAAAGGGGCCGAAAGTTTTTCCTATATATCTCAAAAAGTATTGAGAATTTGTAATAAGTCAAAGAAGCAAAGTTGTTCGAAATATCAAGCTTTATCTAATGGCGTCGTCAAAATACGTCCGGAGTCGTCACTTCCGGCCAAACCGGAAGTGGTCGGAAAACGAGTTTTTTTGCCGTCCTTGACAAGTTTTTGGGTTACATATGTCTCTGGGAGCATAAAAAGTAGTTTTTCCGTCCGTCATCGTCACTTCCGGTCAAACCGGAAGTAGCAAAAATGGCTTATTTTGAAGGTTTTGATGCAAAATTGAAATTATAAAGTCAATGGAGACTACTTAGCTCATTGCTTTCTTTTGTTCCGGCACTTCCGGTCAAAACCGGACGGAAGACCTACTCGTTGCTTTGCAACGAGCTTTGCTCTAGTTATTATTATTATTTTTCCGCCGAATGGTTTTTTGTTTCTTAAGTTATTGAAAAGATTTATAGTTTATATGAATGTACGTCTTAAATGATTTTTTAGTTAAACCCTGCGTAAATGAACTTTGAACCCTTTCGGAGTTATTGCCCCTTTCACAAGAAATGCATGTTATTGCTACTCCTTCGAAAGCATAAACCATAGAGGCATGAAACCTTCACCAATGTCTTCAACTAATAAAGGGGACTTTTCAATCTATTCATTGCGAAAGCATTCGGGAACCCCTTCAATGAGTTATTGCCCCTGAAACTTTTTGAATTTTACAAATAATTAAAAATTTTCAAAACGACAAGTCGTAGAGACATGGAAACAACTGCAAAAGATTCAATGACCTTTGTCCTTCAAATTCATGTAAAGGTCAAAGTTCACGGTCATTCCAAAACTGAGAATTTTAGGTCTTTTTATATGTCTTTTGTCTTTTAACGTATACTTAATGTCTATGCACCATTAATATGTCCTCTTTAAACTATTTCAAAGATCCCATTCTTGTCTCCTAAGATTAAACCTTTTAAAAGTTATTGCCCTTTGTGCAAAAAACCTTGTTATCGCTACTCTTCCAAAACCATAGAAGGTAGAGACACCAAACCTTCTCTAATGTCTTCAGGGTCTTTAGGCCTAACTTCACTGCATAGTTGCAAAAGGATCTGATGACCCCTTATATGAGTTATTGCCCTTTAACTTCTTTGTACTTACTATTAAACCTTATTACTTTAAAGCTATAAGTCATAGAAGCATGGGGTTAATTGCATTATGACCCTTGACCTTTGACCTTGAATATTTTTTCAAAGTCAAAGGTCAAGGTCATTTCAATTTTTTTTTTAATTTTTAATTTTTGCTATCCTTTAAGACAATTTTGGTTTCTTATTCATGGAATTTAATTTTAAAACAAAATTAAAATTCAAAGAAGGTGGAAAGACCTCTTATTGTTCTTTGAACAATAAGTCTCCTAGTTCTATTTTCGTTTCTCACGTGCAAAAAACGACACCTAGTGGCTGGCTATTTTTGGACATGATAAGTGATACACTGCTGTCAAGCTACATATATTTTTTTTTCAATGTTACGATGTTTGATAAGTAATCAGCTATTTTCCACAAGACCCATATTTTCTGTGTTATTTTGCACCACACTTCATACAAGACATTGATTAAAGTGTTAAAACATCTATACTGTGAATTATTTTCCCAGAAAGTCTTCACTTTGTTGTCAATCGATGAATTTAGGTCACATGTCATGTCTAAAAAATATATGGCAGACTGCTCTTGTTAAAATGATATAGGCTTTTTTTTTTTTTAGTTTTTTTCAAATGGCGAAATAAAAATGAAGCTTGTGTTGACATTGATTCAAATCAACCTGAAAAGGTACCAAAAAACATCGATCAAAAAAAAAAAATGGTTTTTTTAATTGGTTTATTTGGAAATAAATTAATTTTTATTATTAATTAAAAAACATTATAAAGTAAATTTCACCAATTGTATAATTTAACTTGATTATACATCTATCAATAAGATCAATGGAAGAAATGTAATATTTCAAAAAAATTAAATGAAGTAAAAATATTAGATCAATATATTTTAGCGAATTTTGATGGAAATAGTTTTTAATAATATAATATAAATCCATTTTTTCTTTAACATTAATTCTAAATGGGAAAATTTGTTGATTTTAATAATAAAAAAAGACTTCTTTTGTTTTGATTTATGACTATTCTACATGTAAGTTGCCATACATTTGCACCGGTACCAGAGTAACGTCCCTTGAATACGCAAACGCTAGGCTCGGGTAGATTTTTATCTTCTTCATGTTAAAACATGTAAACAGCACAATTACAACATAATAAGAAGGTAATTAATTTCCCTATTGACACAACATGGTAAATGACTATATAAAACTTTTTTGACCGAATGCGTGACTTTCCAAGTTAAGTACACCGGTACCGTAGGACCCCGGCATATATCTCTAAAGGATAACCAAATAAATTTAAATTGATAATAATATACGAATATCAGAAAAAAAAACTGTCTCAAATCTCAAAGTGAAAATTTTCTTTCTTTTATGTAAGTTTTGCTCTGAATTTCTTTTTTTTATAAACATTTTTTTAATTGCATTCAGTTATAAGGTGCTGAGATACAGATTTGAATAATTTAAGTTCTAAATTTATCGGTATAATATGCTCTACTTATTTTACCATGAAATTATTGAAACCTCGATTTTCAGGATGTGTTTGATTTATAAATCATTGGGTTTTTTTAAACTTTAAGAAAACTGTTTCTTTAATACTTTAGAAAGGAAAAAAAATTGAAATATGTCCAAACCATAATCCAGAAAACTCAGAGAATAAACGTGAGAAAGTAAAACCAACTCACTAGAATTGTTAGTCCGTTCTCAGTGATGTGTTCTGAGTTTAATCACCCAAGTATGCTGGTGATCTGAAGCGGAAACATTAACAGTAACGGAGTTCGTGGCCTGTTTTCAAAAAGTTAACTTTTCACAAGTGCATTCATTGTGTTAAACTCTGGACACTTCACTTAGCAGGGAATTACAATAATATTACCTGTTTGTTGGTGTTGTCTTCTCACATTTTTAGTTTTTTTTTTGGATAAAAGAGTTTAATTTTCTCATTTATACATTTACACAACAACAATTCAAATTTTCTAAAGTATTAAGGATATAATTTACTTTGCGAAAGTGATTGATTGTTTGTATATTGTTTCACATCTCTCTCGAAAAGTTTTCACTCATATGGAGACGCCGCCACTTGGCGGTGGAGAGCTGCAATTTTTGTCCTATACACTGCTCTTTGTGTCATTTAGCAGGGAGGGATCTTTTATGTGCCAGCACCTACTACGACATGGGACCTCGCTGTATACGGTTTTGTGAAAATGAAAAGATGTTTAAACCGCGTACGGAAATCTGTTGTTTCCATGATTTCCCGATAAAATTAATTTTCTTATTAAAATCCTCATGTGAGGTCTATAGAAACATATAACATGAAATTAAACAGAATTATTGACCTCAAATCTTTATTTAAACACCATTAAAGCATGAAACCAACCTTTTACTATCACTTCACATAATTCCGTTATTATCAACATCTCATATTTTTGAGGATAAAGAGTCCCATCCAATCGTTCGTTGTAAAATACAACATAAGAGCCATGTCCAGTACAGGTTGTTTTGAAGTCAAGGGGAGGTAACCGTAGTCCGTCTCTATAGCACAAGTGACCATCTTCTATGTTGACAGTATTAGAAAGATATAGAGAAAACCCCGCAAAACGCCCTTTTTGTCTGTTTTCTACAATTAAAGAAGCTGATTTTGTAATTAATTTCATTAAGATAACAGGAGGTTACCATTTTGGAATATTTTTTTCTTTGTAGAAGCTATACTATGTAGAAGACAAACAAAAATGATAGAATTTAAGAAATAAAATGTATGATATTTTTCTTTTCCAAATGATAGAAGACAGCTTAAGATATCAAAATTATCTTAATAAAATGAATTATATCCAACAATTATTTTATTGACCCCCAGCCTCCTTAGAGTACATGCATATGTGTACTCTATTTAAAGTAGGGGCAACAGTGATTTCTGCAGAAATCCTTCATGTACTGAGCAACCTGAGATATCCGTAAAGAAATTAGTATGTACATAATTGTTTAACAATTTGTAAAGAACTGTTTTCAACATTAGTATTTAGACTGAATTGTATTTGCTAATCAATCAATTGATAATTGTTAATTAAGGTTGACTTTTAACATAGCCATTGTTTTTTTTTTCTGCATCATCAATTCATTTTTCAGAAACTTGCCTCTTTTTATATTCTTTTTAATCAACATAGAAATGAAAAATATTACGATTTTAAACAAAATGACGATTAATTGAAGTATCGAAAAAAGTTTAAAAACTTGAAGTTATGTGAGCAATGAGCTCACATAATGATACCCCTAGCAGTGTCAATGTTTTGCTATGGGAACCCGAAAAATGTGTCGGATCAAAAAGTTAAATACATGAAAGGAGGTCACAATGGCACAATGTTATAAAGATATTTTGAAAGATTCATCAATTTTCATTCAGTGGTTTAGGAGGAAAAAAATAGAAACTCATAAGCGTAACAGTCAGATGGACCTACAAATGCACGGACGGACATCCTGATTTCTCTATACCCTCCCGCTTTTCAAGCCTGAGGTGTGGCGACTTCTGAATAACATGGGACACCACGAGTTATTCCTCTTTATCCGTTACTATTAAACAATATAGAAAGTAAAATTTTCCAAAGCAAAACATGGACACTATCATTTTATTCATATGGTAGGCAGGGGTATTATTTAGTGAGCTCACATACCTCTAGTGTCACTTGTGATGAAAACAACATTGCTTTTATTGGCTGAACATCACGTCACAACATATGAATTAAATATTCAAAATTTCGACACTTTATCTTAAGGCAACCAAAATCTGAACGGATTGTAAAATTAAGTCTGCTAAATAAGCATGTCTGGATAGTTGTATTATTATCGTACTGTTACTATTATTGATATTTTACTTTCTCGGAAATTTTAGGAATATGAATATATACTTAATTTGCTAAATTGTTGCAGCAGAAAATATAACTTTCGACTAAAGAACTAATCAAATATTTACCTTTTACCTGGCTCGGTCGGTTCACTTTCAAGAATACTTATGGAACATCCGACGCCTTCTTGTATCATTTCTCAATAAATGACTAAAATACTTCTTTTTAAAGACTTTCTTAAAACCTTTTCTTAATTTCTAAATCACGACTGTAACTTCTTCTTACAAATGTAAACACTGGAAACACTGACGTTACGCGCGATGTTGGTTTAATTACGTCCTTCTTTAATTAGAATCCAATGCAAAATCTTAGCGATTTCTTTATTGAAAAGGACAATGAACTTTATTACCATGTTCTTGTAACATGCAATGAAAACTTACCATATTGTCTCCCGTATGACTTAAACAGTATTTCGATGCTATACACACTATACACGTCTCCCAGATTTACGTACCACCACATTGTTTTGTATGTTGCTGAAGGACCGATGTATTCAGTCCGCATACAAGTACTGTTGTCTCTGTCAATTGCATTACTTGCCACACAGTTCGATTGTGGATAACATTTTGCTGAAGGACTTTGTTCTGATCTCTTACCATACAAGTCATCTTCAACACATCAAATATAATATTTAATTCAAGTTATTCCTTTCAAAATAATTCATATTATTAATCGTTTAATAAACCGTTAACCGATCCGTAAATTATTTTAAATCATTTTAAGCTTTCGTTAAAAACAGGATTAAAGTCATATCAAGTGGCTATACAGTCATGTCCATTTCCTCTTACAGTGGCTGGAACGTTATTGTTGACAACTTAATCGAACGATCACGTTACACGCACGATTCCGCACGATTAACGCACGATTAAACCTGATACACGAACGATCTTTCACGTTTACGATTCTACACGTTACACGATCTTACACGATTGCTAACGCAAACGCACGATTCTTCACGCAAAAAAGTTCAAATTATTTAGGAATTGATATTTCCAAAACGAAATACGGATTTATATTGATTTTAGATTCAAAGATTTATCATTATATTATTTCATCGACTTTGAAAAAAAACGGAAATGGGTATTTCTTGTACTAAATACATGTAAGATTTTTAAATTATTATTTTAGATGATAAATAATTATTTAGATAATTCTCGGACATAAGAAAACGGATTTTTTTGTTCTATCAGAAAAAGTAGTAGGTGGACCGTAATGAATTGGATTTCATAATAATTATATCAATTGGGGGATACGATTGGGAAATCAATGACAGCATGAAATGACTTAACTTAAAAGTTATAGCTATATGTTTTCATTACTTCAAAATGTTTATGAATCTCTAAAACATGAAAAACGACATAGCAAATTATTGTTTATTTTAAAAATTAATTAAAGGTAAGCTACAGCGATAAACACTGTAAAAGAAAACCCCGAAAATCATGTGCGTGACGCGCATGTACATTCGCCGACTAAACATTTATGAAAGGTTTGAAAAATATTTATTTGTAAAAATATTTTTTTGAGATTATTTGAAAATTAAAAAAATATATATATCTTACCACAATTAGCAGCAAACAAAAATGATCTTCAGAAAAAAATATAGTAACACATTTTAGTACGGTTTATCACAATAAGTCACGCTATACGAGAACATAATGTTGTACGACTTACTAAATTGCTGGTTTACAAGCTGTAGTTAGTTCGTTCCGCATTCAATTATGTAAACTGCGCTTCATTCCTTTTATTTGGATTTTAAAAAATAAAATATAGACAAAATACTTGTTAACATTCCGATAAAAACTTACAAAACGAAATTTACACGTTTCTAAACGCACGTTCACGCACGATTAAAACCGCAAACGATTGAGTCTGTTACACGCACGATCTTGCACGTTACACGAACGATCGCGCACGATGCACGAACGATTCTACACGATTGGTTTGTCAACAATAACGTTCCAGCCACTGTAGTACATGTTTCACACCTCGAACAAAGGATTTTTGCTGCTACCAAATTACTTGGTACACCCCAAACCACCCTTAATGGTTGGTTGACTCTGTCATTTTTGCATAATTATTAAACAAATCATTACCAATGATAGATAATTACAATCATGGACATAGGGCAAGGTCACCAGACAATGAATAATGGACCTAATGTGCTACAACAGTGAAAAATAATTACATAGTTACATAAATTAGTACATGCAGGAAAAAAGATCTCTTTCTCTTCCCCTGTCTTTCTTCCTGAAATATTCAACTTTAGCCGAAATTAAAACGTGAGAAAATTTAATAAAAATCAAAAGTATAAAAGAGAAATATAAGAAATAGTAATTATTTGGGATTTTCCATGTACCTTGTAACTTTAATCAGAAATATCGCATTGAGCAGTTATATAGCGAACAATTACATTTGACTTACATGTACTATATTCAATTTCTTCTTTAATTCCAATTAAACAGACATGGGATGATTCGGAAACAGCAAAAAGTCTAAATATGATCTTTTTTAAGAAGTTCAAATACGTTGGAACCGTCCAATATTACTAATGTAGTGTACATGTATATCCAACTGTAAACCTTTTTTTCCTGCGGAATTCTTTGCTTTCAGGAGAAATTTATCAATTTTACCTCCAAAACAAATGTTTAATAATGTCCACAAAAATAAAATGCCCCTGACTAAAATCCGTCAAATTGACATGACTATCTTCACACAGAGATTTTTTAATCTATTGAAACGCATCTGTATTGTGTTCGAAAACTACTCACTGTAAACTGTCACCTGACAGGTAGATTTACCCCGAGGGTATAATTATCACATCTGGGTCTGTACAAAATGACAATAGTCAGGGTCAAACTATCCTAATCTTGATTTAATAACAAGAAACACACAAAGATTTGTAATTAAATAGACAGAGACACAAAGGGCTTAATTTCTCGTGTGAAGCATGTACTAAGTATGTTGTTAAACTTTTCCCTCGTCACTCATGGTACTCGGGAAAAGTTTACCAACATATACTTAGTACATCCTATATCTATATGTAAATAATTAGTTGTCTACTTTTGTTTTTACACACTACAAACTACTGTTTGATTTTATTTCTGAAGAATCTGAGAAAAAAAAGGCTAAAAAAGTACTTCATATGATCTCTGAGCTTTTCTTTTTACATTTGTTTTTGTATGATACCAACAAACATAAAACAACCTTATAATGTCTGATGACTACATGAACCGGGTACATAGAATATAAAGCAATTGACCATTTAAATCTATTTGTTTTCATAAGACATATTTTCCCTTTATAATAATTATATTTTAATAAAAAAAAGAAATCAGCAGAAGTTGAAGGCTACGAACCAATCATTTAACTAAAGATTTTATTTTATACATACCAAATCCAAATGACTTCCAAAATAAATTAGTAAATATGATGAAAGGTAAAAGTTTCATGGTAACACAAAATCCACAAAAAGGCGGACTTTAACTTAAGCTAAAAATCAAGCATCCCGAATGAGCTGTCCTTCACGATTTTGTTGATGATAGGTTGTTGACTTTTTATAACCATAATTGAAACCAGCATAAGGTTTACACATCTGCACATTCAGGCAAAAACTAATTTAAAAGAAATTGTACGTGAATGTAAGTTTCGTAACGCTTAATTATTAATTTTTACAGACGATAACTGAAGTAAAAACATTTAGTTTCATTGATTTAAATTGATTTTGTATTATTTCTTATAAAAAAATTAATTTGTGAAAATATGCTTGTAAGCAAGGTCTGTCTGTTTCGCATTCAAGTTAATTTCCTTTTTAGATTTTTGTTCTACATGTATATAATTACTGTTAAATTTCCTTTACAATGTTTGTACAGTTTTTTGTTCCTTATTGGACACTTAAAATGAAATATTTTATAACTGTGTAAACATATAGGGGTACTTATCCAAAGGCTGAGATTGGGACAGATTTAAACAAATCCGATTCAGGAACTATTCCCCGAGAGCTTTCACAAGTGAAATTCTTATTTCTTAATTGCACCGAATAATATCCTTGATCATTTATCTATGAACTAACGATTTAGTTCTCTATTCATTCACCATCACCAATAAAAATATATAAAAAAGTCACGAATAAATAAAATGATTTTAAATGTAAGCACAAATGAATTGATAAAGAAAAAATAAATGATAAAAATAAGCATGTAAATAATACATTTCTCAATTCAATGAACATTTAATTTCATGAATCTGCTCATCAACGAATTCCTCGACAACTGGTGGTCAACGAATATTGATGACACCACAGTACGACAGTGAAGTGACTGTGGTACAACTGATTAGTGGAATTTAACATGAATTCAACATTTAAGTTAGAAATAATATTTTTTATGATCATCAACTTGTCAAAAAACGTTTCAGTAGAGTTTGAAGGGTATTTCAAATAAAAGAATCTTTTTGTAATTTTTATTTTTTAATCCAATGTGATTAAATCCAAAACAATTCAATTTTTAGGGGTACTGGCAGATTAGAAACAGAACGTTTTTGATATTCATTTGGTTTACCTGAAAGACAATTTGTTCTTAAAAATACCCATTGCTACATTGACTGAGGTATCATCAGCATCTCAGAAAATGATAAACAAACTTTGGTAAGAATGCAGAATCCCCAGACAGAGAAAACAGAATGAGAGTACATGTAACATCTGTCCAGATGCCTAATAATGAAGATTTATATATAAAACTTGGTTGGCAATTTACGTGAGTAAAGGAAAAGAAGGGATAAATCCCAAATTAAGTAATTTTCTTGTTTGTAACACGATTCTCACAGTCTACTTAATATTTACCACTTTTTTAGGATTATGTGCATTTTATGCATTTTTATTGTTACTATGTACCAATAAAAAGCATTTGAATATGTTCAGTGCTTTAATGATTAAATAACATCGCTCTATTTCAAACCTTGTCCAGTTCAAGATTAACATAGTTTCCCTGTTTTTTAATAATACGTAATCCTTCATTACCACATGCAGCTGCTTCTCCTGGTACTTGTAAATCTAAGTTTACGTAGTTTTGTTTTTCTGGATTGAAGGTATTTAACGTTTGATAGGTATGGGATTCATCTTTTGGTTGTTTCAATGTATCTGTGCTGGTTATATATATTTGTGAGTGTCTTCTTTTTTCTATCAAGGATCTAAAGATTCCTTTTCTGAAATATTAGATAAAAGTCTATGTAGTTGATATGAGAAATACAATGAAGAAAATCATGGATATATTCTTAATATATACGAGATAAAAAAAACCCACTGTGACTAAATATACTGCAAAAGCTGAGGTTTTGAAATTAAAACATAAACAAAATGTTATACCAAAAAAACCGAACTTTTCCTACCGCAATAAATAAACAACCAATGCAATAAGGATGGTTACAAAGACAATTGCACCAAGAACTCCGCCGATGATGAATGGTATTGCTGACTTACTGTCCACTATTAGACGAAAAGAAATCGAACTCAGAAATGGAAATAATATAATAATATAGCCTTAAATATGATACTTTGGTTGTGACTATAACAAAATAAAATTAAACATGTTTCTATGAACCTGCGTTGTATTTTTCTTATTTGATGAGAACAAATGGTTTTACTCACTTTCTTCACACATGTCACCATAGTATGGTTCTTTACATCCTCCAGTACAACTCCCATTAAACCTATCACAAGTATCATTAGCACAATTGGCACTGCAGGAATGAGTACAATTTTCACCATACGTATTTTGAGGGCATTCTAAAATGGTAAAACTATGCTTAAATTAAAAATGTATTTTACAGAACATATTGAAAGAAACATGAAATGAATTAGAGCCTGCATATATATCGAGTCTGATTCATCATTTGAAGTTTCTTAGAAAATGTATCTAAGATGATATTATAGTTTCCTAGAGTTCATGATATTTATGAGAAATTTAAATAGGATTCTAATAAATTTTTTATCTGCAATAAGTAAAAAAGTTCATTCCGAATATGAAGATGCTAATATTTTTAAGTACATTGTATGCCCAATGCACGATGTTTAATCGATCTTGTCGACATCGCTGTAAAATACCAGTTTCCCTTAATTCAACATTCCTTATTCAACATTGTTAGATATTATAATATACTGTTGGATGACATTGGATTGACATATCGTGTCAACATTGCAGTCTCTTATTCCCATAACATATCCAATTGGCTCTGTTGGATAATACTTTGTTTATCTCTGTTGGAATGTTAAAAAATTTTGAGTCGACGTCTTGTTAACATTGTCTTCTCTTTTCTTTTGTTCACATTGGTCGATGTCGAGTTTTCTTGTTTACATCGTTAACATCGTCGATATCGCAATGTATGTCTACATCGAGTCGACCTCGTGTCAATATTGCCTTCCTTTTTTCTTATTTACATCGTTTACATTGTCGACATCACATATGGGTCCATATCGAGTCAAAATCGTGTCAATATTGCTTTGTTCTTCTTTTCTTAGTTACCTCCTTAACATCGTCAACATCGCAATGTTGGTCTATATCGAGTCGACCTCGAGTCAACATAACGTCTTTTTTCCTTTTACATCATTCACTTCGTCGACATCGCAGTGTAGATCGATATATCAAGTCGATATTGGGAGAACATTGCCCTCTCATATTTTCTTGTTTACATCGTCCACATGGTCGACAACGCAGTGTAGGTCTATATCGAATTGACATCGTGTCATGGCCTTTGTTTTCTTGTTTACATCGTTTACATCATCTACGTACATCACAAAGTTGGTTTATATGGAGTCGACATCGTGCCAAAATTGCTTTTTTTAGCTCACCTGAGCTAAAGGTTCAGGTGAGCTTTTCTGATCAAAATTTGTCCGTTGTCTGTCGTCGTCGTCGTTGTAAACTTTTCACATTTTCATCTTCTTTTCAAGAACAACTGGGCCAATTTCAATCAAACTTGCTACAAAGTATCCTTGGGTAAAGGGGATTCAAGTTTGTTCAAATGAAGGGCCATACCCTTTTCAAAGGGGAGATAAATTATGAATTAGAGAAAAATTAATGGCATTTTAAAAAAAAAATCTTCTCAAGAACCACTAGGCCAGGAAAGATAAAACTCATGTGGATTCATCCTGCAGGTATTGTATATTCAAGTTTGTTCAAAACATAACCCCCGGGTTAAAGGGGGGGGGCAAAATGGCCGATCAAAGTTAAGCATATGAATATATAGGAAAAATCTTTAAAAATCTTCTTCTCAAAAACCACGATGCCAAGAAAGATGAAACTCATAAATTATGGAATCATCCTCAGGTAGTGTAGATTCAAGTTTGCTCAAATCATGACCCCGGGACTAGGGTGGGGCCAATATGGCTGAACAAGTTATACATTGGAATACAAAGGGAAACCTTTTAAAATCCTCTTTTCAGGTACCTCAAATCCATGCTTAGTGATAATATATGAAATCATCCTCACGTAATGTAGATTCTAGTTTGTTCAAACCATGACCCCCTGGGAGGTTCAAGCCCCCCCCCCCCCCCCACCCACCCACCCTCAACTCAGTAAACTTTCAGTTCTAATCTGATAAGTGCTTTTTCCAAGCAAATTGCTCAGGTGAGTGATGTGTCCCTGGGCCTCTTGTTTCATATAAAGTAGACCATGCATTGGACGTGATGAACATGTGTACCTTATTAAAACATGTTCAAGATGTAACCTTAAACTGAACTTAAACTTTATATAATTATACGCGAGTATACAAAGTATATGTAGGTTATATAAAAAATTTTGTTTGTGGACTTTTCTTTAATTCAATATGATAAGTAGTTATATTACTTATGAATATACATTGTGTATTTGGAATATATATGAAAATAAAAGATGTTTTCGATATTATATTAACACTGATAACCCTGCCAGGTTTACTATGTAGAAATAATAACAATGTATACGATGTAAACGCAATACCGTAACAACATTGTTAACGTTGCGATGTCGACGTCGACGATGTCAAAATACAATTAAAGATAATGACAATGTAGACAAGGTAAATGCGATATCGCATAAAAATTGTCTACATTGCGATACCATCGATGATGACACTTAACGTAGATACAATAACAATGTAGCCGGCGTAAACGCAATATGGCATCAACATTGTTTACATTGCGATGTCGTCAACATTAAATTGATAAAGTGCAATGGACATTCATGATATTTTACTCAATTTTAACTAAATTAACTACAGAAATCGTTATGGAAATCACAAAAAGATATTCACCTGTACTGCAAATGGGAGCCGCCCAACCAATTTTACACAAACAGGATCCGTCGGTGTGTTTACATATTTCCTTACAATTCTGAGAACAACTTTTAGAGCAGTTTGCACCATAGAAACCATGCGCACAAGCTGTAATGAAAAGACAGATGACAAATAATTTATTATGCCTAAAAGATACTTCAAGCATCGGTTGCCATAAATAAAGACCAAAAAATCAGGGTAAACAAATTAATTATTTTAATAGAGAGCTTTATATGAGTTTTGAACTTTGTCACTTTTTATTAAAATGAGGTTAATTCTTCAATATTTTCTTAGTTTCAACAAGCAGTGTGTACTGTAGCCTTGAATTATTCATTGTTATCCTTATCCTTGTGATTTATGTTCGAAAGAATATATTTGCCATGTGCAATGACTTAAAATATAGACCGTCTTTATAACGTTGGTTATTTTAGTTTTGGTACAAGAGGGTACACGAGTGTTTCACACCCAGCTCGGTAAAAATATAGATTATCTATCTATTTTTTGTGCTTTTGAAGTAGATAAAGTATCAATTAATGTAAATCAGGACAAAAATTGCACTGTTAACCAATTAATTCCACGAGTAGGGACCTACCTTAAATGTTTGTAAAATGATATACATTAAAGTTCTACATTACATTCGTTGCACATATTCCCAAGGTAGCCATTTTTACAGCCATTATAGCAATGTCCATCAATGTGGTTACAAAATTCCTCATTGGCACAGTGTCCACTACAAAGCTGACTACATTCATTACCAAACCAGCCTGAGGTACATTCTATTGTAAACAAAGTAATTCACTTGCTTTTAAAAGTCAACATGTAAACTGATTTATTCCAAATGTATGAGGTGATCAAATTTAAAAAGTATATTATACCTTTATTACACAAATCTCCGAGATATCCAGTTGAACAACCTGAGTCGCAACGCCCTGTTTTCCTGTTACACATGTTTCCATTTAAACAATGTCCGCTGCAGTTAGAAGCACAGTTTGGGCCATAGCGTCCATAACTGCATGCTGTAGTTGAGAGTCAACAAAGATATATAGAATTACGCTGTCAAAAGTTTATTCTACATTGTAAGTCACCCATGCACATAGATTTTGGAGAAACTGGCACTTAAAAAAAAAAAACAAAAAAACTAAACATTTGTTTAAAAAAAAGTCTAGAGGTAGACAATATTTAGACCTTGTAGGAGGTATATTTTAGATGATTCTATGCAATCTATATCTAATATATTATATAACAAACCTGTATATTTAAACATACAGGTTTATTGAAAATGCTTACACCGTATTTAACCAAAACCCTGAACATAAACACAAATATTTACAATATTTCAATTTATTGGATTGAAGCTTATATGTGATATTAGACGTAATAAATTTCAGTCAGCCTTACATCATGTACATGTGACAACGAAACGTGTTTAAAAGTGTATCCATTAAAATGTGCAAAATTGTATTAATTAAACTATATTTTTATAAATTCGATCTCTATACTACGAAACTCCTTGGTACCAGGAAGAAAATAAATTAATATGGCAACCACCAAATAAGTTTTCTGTGGTCCAAAATACCACACATAAATAACTGGCAGCCTCATCCAGATACTTATCTGGCAACCTCCAAATTTATTAATTGAGTAATTGCTAGACAATTATATGGTGACCGCCATTTATTTACATAGCGGCTGCCAGATTAATGTTTTTTAACCTGAAACCCACCTGAATATTAAGGTGAAATAAATTAATTTCGAAAACATACATTCATTACACATCGGCGGAGTCCATCCAGGAGCACAACCTTCGTCACAGATTCCAGTCACTGGATTACAGGTTTGACCATCCAGACAATGTCCTGAACATCGAAATTTGCAGTCTAGACCATGTGATCCTCTTTCACATGCTGTTAATACATTGCCATGCATAGATATATGTTTGAGGACAGGAAAGCATGCCGACAAAATTAAAGTCAACAACTCTACGTACATGTAGTAGGGTAAGTAAGAGAAAACTTACACTTTTGACAGAACTGCCCTGTCCATCCAGGCATACAACCCAGACAGGTTCCGTTAATGATATCACACGTTTCCCCTTGACAATGTTCGGAACAATTATTTTTACACAGTTTACCATATGTACCTCTTTTACAACCTGAAAACAATTTGAATACCGCAAAACTCTTTGAATTACAAATTAAATGTAATTATGACCATTACATGAAAAAGCAAATATGATGTAACCAAATTCTTTTTTAAAATACCGGTATATAAACGGAAAGCAAGACAAATACAAATGCACTGAACGCTAGGACAAGGAACCAAGGTACATGTACCAAGAAAAGGTGAATCTTTGCAAACAAGTTACACCTTTAGTAATTGGCTTTGACGATAACTTAATAGGGACAAGATTCCTGATATCATTGTAAATTGTAAGAGCTCATTCAGATTGGTGAAATCGTATTACTGTAAGCACATTCGTTGGCTATTTCAGCACACTTAGTATAACTGATGCAAAGTCTTTTATGCAATTTAGTTTCAATCTTACATATTCCGAAAAGAACTAGTACAAGTATGTAAAACCGTAATTAACATAATTACCTCCTAACGTACTCCGATCCTTAGGTTCTGAAAACAGGCATTGATTGATTAGAAATGTCTCTGAATTTTCGAATGTAGTATGTTTTCACCCATGATAATTCTTCTAACATCATCTTTCAATCTAACCATATTAACTAGGAAAAATTAGTAAACAACAAGATAGGGTGAGACCCCTATTTGGCCTCCTATTTTTGTTTCTTTCAAAATGATCTAACAGCTTATTAATAAAATCCAGTTGTCACTCCTGCCAAAAATTGGTTCTAATATTCATAATGTAGAGAGGTCACAGAGATGTCAGGAAATAGGTAAATTTTTGAATTTTCTCACTTTTATGCAAATTTTCATCGATTTTACAGCACATTTTGTCTCGGAAAACATAGAGCACAAGCTTGCCTATCTACCAAATAAACATATTTTATACACTAGTATCAGATGCAGTTTATGTGTAAAAATATCAGATAGGCAAGGTTGGGCTCTATGTTTTTTTCAGAAGAGAAAAGTATCTCAAATTTGATGACATTCCGCTAGAATTGAGGAAATTCAGAAAAATATCCTATTTCTGCACCCTCTAGTGGCTTCCATGTAAACTTTAAATCTGAATTAGTGCTTGTTTTAACTTCATAAATTTATACGAACTATCACATCTTACCAGTCTTCTGATTTTTGCATCAAATAAGGGATCAGATTCGGCCATTACCCTATCTTGTCCTTTCGAATATTTTTTTTCGGGAAACGAGAATAAAAATACCTACTATGCAATTACCTATTCAAATTATCTGAATGAAACATATCAAGATAACGAAACAGTATTAAAGATCAAAAGTCCATAAAACAATAAAAAAAAAAATATAGGAGCAGAGCAAATAAGAATCTCCAAAGCGTCAGAGGAGGGATCAGGTGCCATGGACGAGTGATCATCCGCTGCCGACCGGTCATACCCAACGTGCACTACTTGTCATGATTGGGAAATAACGGGAAATATGTTGTCAATTCAGTGTATAAAAATATACTAATAATTGTTATGAAAAGGACAGCAAGCATTTGAGTCAATGATGAGATGTATTTGCTGACAAGGCCATATTATCGATCATAGAACCGACAAAATGATGACTTTTAACGAGACTGCTGATATCTTTGTTTTATCAACTTATTTGTCAACATTTCACCTCGTTTTAAAAATTGGTCGTACGTAGAACATGCTCTTGCGTATCGAATCAACGAAGATAAAATAAACTTCGTATACAGGTGATGAAGGTACACGTATATTGCTGCATAAGTAAGGGAAGTTGACGATAGTAAAATTAAAGTCATCACGTTTATCATAATTTTAAAATATATATATTTTTATGGAATTTAATTTATCGTGCCGTGGGGAATTGTATAAAGTTGAAATGCCTTAAGTTTTAAAACTGTTGATTTTGGTAAAATCTTGTGATTTCATATTGTCCAAAACTTTCTTCGATCTTTTATGTATCCACAACTAATTTACCACTTCTTGAATATATTGTTGAGCAGTATTTTTGATATTTCTACTTCACTACTGCTAATATCTGAGTGAGGAGAAGAAAGAGGTTTTATTGAACATTAACTGGAACCCGCTATGTATCTTTGTTTTTAAGGATTCTTTTAAAGTTTCGGGATCCAATACATGTATATATATGGTAACGTAGTTCGAATTCAATTTGGTTCTTTAGGCTATCAAAAATATTCAAACTTACATAGTTTTGAATTACTTCTTCATTAGAAAGGGATCAATTAACATAAGTTGGATTACCACTTGTAGAATTAAAGCCAAAGTGCCAATTCTTCTAAAATACAATTTATATAATGATCCTTACAAATATTGACAATGTTGTTACCCGCTTTGTCAGCAGAAACAATATCAAAAATAAAATCATAGGTATTCAGGCTTTTGCCTGTTCAATTTTTTAACATAAAAGGTACTTTAATTTCTTATATTTACTTCTTTCATTTTACAATGCATAGTGTTTATTTTTTTTCCAAATTGCTGAAAAAACCTTTAATCTCTGCTAATTTCATATTATGTTATTTAAAAAAAATGTATCTTTAGTTTGACTAAAATTAAAGAATCTCAATTTCTTTAAATATGTAATTTCAAAATACTTTTACGGGGTAAAAAATTTCGACTTTTCTTTCTGATAGCTTCAAAGAGACTTGAAGCTCATAAAATGGTATAAATGAAAAACATGCAAAAAATATTTTCAGCCTTCATTTTGAGATTTTTAAAATTAAAGTATAGATTAAGGAATTATCCTTCCTGGTTGAGGTTCGGAGTACCTTAAGGATGACCCTATGCACGTAAACTAATAACAAAATATTGGATATCAGGAAAAACCCTCAACATATCTTAAAATCTTAATTTTTTTTCATTGCACTGTTTTGTCTTACTTTTTATTCATTTTTTTTTATTTCTCTAGAATTAAATTCATTATTGATGCAAGTTACAGCTAAAATTAACCTTCAACTACCACTTCACATAACTCCGTTATAATCAACTTCTCATATCCTTGGGGATAAACAGCTTCATTTAATCGTTCGTTGTAAAATATAACATAAGAGCCATGTCCATAACAGGTTGTTGTGAAGTCAAGGGGAGGTAACTGTGGCCCGTCTTTATAACACAAGAAACCCCTTTCTTTGTTGGCAGTATAAGAAAGATATAAAGAAAACCCAGCAAAACGACCTCTTTGCCTGTTTTCTACAAGTATAAATAAAGATTTTCAATACTCTTTAAACCACAACTGTTATTTCTACAGAATATCTTTGTGTACTGAGAAACTTAAAATGCCTGTAGACAAATTAATGTGAAAAATAATTGTCTAACGATTTGTTTGAGAAATTGCCAGGAAACGTTTGAATTTAAAAAAAGTTGTATTTGCTGGCAAGGTTGTTATATTGATCATTATTTATCAAAGTCTGAATTTTAACGAAGCAGCTGTTTTCATTGCATCATCAATTTTTTTTTGTAAAAACTTGCTTCATTTAAATTCTTTTTTTTTTGTGTTAATTAGAACATGCAATTGTGTATCAAATAAACTCAGATACGTTAGCTTTACATGATGATGGTATTGTTCAGTATAAAAACTGTAGGTATAGACGATGGAGTGATAAGGTACATGTTATCAAGTTTGTCACAGTTTCCTTGTTAAATTCCATTTCATTACATTTAATGTGTTTTTCACAATGACACTCAGTCTCTAGTACAACCAAAAAAATTGAATTGAGAATTGTTAAAGTAGATTGTAGATTTGTACACAAGCTCTATAGGCTCATTCGAGCTTGTTTTCAAATCATATAATTCAATTTTTAAGCTTACAAATTGAAATTTTAAAATTGAGATTTCAATAAACCAATCAAAAGGCTGGATTTGATTAAATATCTCTTCTTTTAATAGAACGAAAAATGATTCAAACTAAGCATTGATTTCTTTTTATTTAGGATATTAAGCTCTGAACCAAAGACACACGCTGAGTTTTCATAAAAGTAGATCGGATTTTGACCATAATCATTTCAAAATTTTATTGCAATTGCTTATTTTAATGCAGAATATTTTCAAATATGAAATGTTTCTTTAATTACCAAAAGTCGTGGGGATAGAAACGGAATCCTTCTTGAAATAAATTTTATAATTCAAGCTTAACTACTGGTTAATAAACAAATGCCATTTCGATATTGCTTTCAAAAATATCAGCAGCAGGGTATACTCCTCGAATGCGTTACACCTCACTGCTTTATTGTTACGGGTATCGGCGTGATCATGCTAGTTGTCTTATTTGACCTTTGTTTACATTTTATTGCAGTTACGTGCATTTGTATTTATTTGTTTGCTGCGATGACCTGTGTAACTATTGGAAATATCTTTGGTATCTTACTTTCCTGCATAAGAAGTATACAGTTATTTTTTTTATGCCGTCGAGTGCTGCAAAGCATATATATGATTAAACAGAACAGTGACTAAGTCAGCTGCTTTATCTAGAGGGTCCTCAGAAATAGCGAGAATTCGATCAAAATTGGCAGACACATTCCTTTTTCGAATTGTGTTCAACTTTATTTTAGGGACCTTACTGCTTATAACAAGACTGTACAATTATGTCTTCTAAATATTCATGCATAAAGAAAAGTTTTGAATAATTCAGTATCTTTATTGTACTTATTCTGTTTCTCTGAGATTTAATGTAAGTAAATGTAACTCTAAATTGAGGGGGGTGTCTCACACGGTTGTGGTATGTTTTCAGTTAACTGAGCCCGATCCGTATATTGAGACAATTCTTTTTGTCAATTAGACTATCCTTGCAATCAGGTCTGTCCTTGATCTTGAAATAGAGGCGAAGAGTGGGAAATATAAATGTTATGTCTTTATTAGCGCAATCATAGAAAAGATCTTAAAGTAAAACGGTCAAGTTGAAATAACTGTCACAGAATATATGATGACCGGATGTGACACAAGAACATAGCAACTTTCACAATAAAACAATATACAAATTATTTGACATAGTAGACATATAAAAAATTAAGTATTAATTAATTCAGCTATGAACAGAGAGATCATTATTTACATATCGCTACCAAATTTTGAACTCTTAAAAAGTTTTAAGAATAGAATTTTTGCTCGTCATTATGCACTTCTCAAAACGATTTACATATTTAAGAATTACAAAAATTATTTCTCCCTACATAGAAGAGTTGTACTTGATGATATGTCTTATTTCTCTTTAGCTAACTATATTTAATAATTGTCAAAATAATTAAACAAGATATAAATGCAATAAGCGTATTTAAAAAAACCATAATTATTTTTTTTCAGTGTACTAATTTAAATCTTAATAAATTCCAAAATACATTAAATTTATATAGAAGAAAAATATAAGTAAATAATTAAAATACAAGTACATACCTAGAAATAGAGGCGAAGAGTGGGAAATATAAATGTTATGTCTTTATTAGCGCAATAATAGAATAGATGCGCATTTCCCAACTCTTGCCCAATTTAAAGAAATAGATTTTGAAAAAGGACCAATCAAAAAATAAACTCAAGATTTTAAGATAACAATTAGTGAAAAGGCAATTAACGCGTAATGATACTTAAATGACAGTTATAAACAATTTGAAGCGAAAACAACTCAACATGAGAAAACAAGGTACTCGCTTATGACATCTTGGAAAGGAACAATTAAGACAGTGAGAAAAAAAATAATTACATGTACATCAAAGATTAAAAAATAATCAAATACAATTAGACTCAGATGTCACAATTCAAATAAATAAGTTTGAACCATAAAGTAAACAAAATAATAAATATTTATACAACAATCAGAAACTATTGAATTAAGGAAAGTACGTGTCACATATCTTAGAATGTAAAATATAATTATTTAAAAATAATATTAACGCGTTGATAGAGGCTTTATATGCGACTGAATGAATTTATACAAAAATGAAAAAACAGTCAAAATCTAAGTGTGACATATTGTCACAGATGAAAATGTACCCTTGGACATTTTGACAATTAATTTGGATATTTTTATTTCTAAATTCTTACATCTGTTTTTAATTTAATGAGCTGTCAATGAGTTGCTCCAATCTGTCAGATTTATCTATTTTAAATATTTAATTATCTTAATTACCCATTAGTGATACGACCAGATGGACTGTGTTTTGTGTGACTTAATTATTGTTTATTTAAAATCACAATCTTTAACTCTACTTGTAAATCAAATTAACTCATGTCATATATTACTCAAACTTATCAATTTTCAACCATGCCTATAAAAAAAAATTTTGTTAACATTCGGGGAGTTGGAATCGGGACGCGCTTGTTCCTGATACTGTCCGACCCGACGAGAAATAAAGGTCTGCAAATCGTAAAGCGGCTTTACCTTCATTTACTTAATAGTCCACCCTAGTGGCTTTACCGACAAGCCCACGCATCTTACGCGAGGGTGTGATAGGGGGATAGGGAGGAGTAGAAAACGAATCATATCTTTCACCTGACTCGATTAGTTTATCTTCGAGAATACATATATGACGTTTGGGTCTCTTTTCTCATGAAATGACGAACGTTTCCGAAACATTTTCTAAAAGCTTTTCTGAATTTGTAATTCTAGATTGACTGCATTACATACTGATAATAAACCCATTCTATTGCAAACAACTGAGTGAAAAACACAAAATATATGTCTTTAACATTCTTAAATATGAATCTAAAGCAAGGTCTTACCATTTGTTCAATGAAAAGGGGAAAGGGGTTTTAATACCATGTTTCTCAAGAATAAAATGAAAACTTACCGTATTGTTCCCCGTATGATTTAAACAGTATCCTGATGCTATACACACTATACACGTCTCCCAGATCTACATACCACCACACTGTCTTATATGTTGATGCAGGACCGATGTTATCAGACCTCATACAAGTCCTGTTGTCTCTGTCTACTGCATTACTTGCCACACAGTTCGATAAAGGAATACATGGAAAAGTAGAAAATTGAGATGATCTCTTACGGTAAGAAACATCATCTGAAAAATTAAAACGTGACTCTCGAAGATGTCCCGTTAAAAAGACATTAATGTATGTCTCTAAACAGTATTTGATGGATATATTCTGGAATAAAATTCTTTGAAGCAGAAATTAGACAAACATTATGCTTAAACCACTACATTGCAAGGTACATGTATCAGATACATGTCTAAATAAACTGGATAGTAAACGGGGAAAGGAACAAAGTTTCCATTGTAAAACAAAAAGAAAAAAATAATGTTAAGAAAAATCTTCATTAAACTGAAGATAGAAGGGATTCACTGTATGATATATGAAAATAATTATTTGAAATCATTCATTTAAAAAATCAGGTTTTAGTTGAAAAAAATACATGAATACATGTATATTGAAAATTAGAACTCCATGATGATTTTTTGACCATTACAAATGTGTGCAAATGTGACCAAACCATAAAAGAAATGGCAAGTCAACAAAATCTTAGGATCTGATGGGGTGCAATGTATCTTTTGAAATCTATATCTTTTAAAAACAATTTCAAAGGTATTATTTAAAACTATTAACCAAGACAATATGAAAAAAAGAAATATCTTTTCTAAAAAAATATTAATTTTCCCTAATGCATGAAAAAAAAGTTAAAATAATTATCTCAGCAACATCAACTTGTGGATATAATGTGGTTGTCCGTTTGTCTGTGTGTCCATATGTTTGTCCATAACAAATTTTCATCGCAGTTATCTAAGCAACTACTTATTGCTATTGCTCGAAGTTTTAGCACACTTTTTGATCTAAGCATGTCATATGATGGGATTCATTTTTGTTCAAATCCAATGTCAACTTCCTGTTTATCCATGTTTTTGACTGTACGAATTTCTTTTGCAGTTGAAATTTTAGTATACGCTTTGTGTAAGTGCACCATCTGGTTGAATTCATTTTAGTATGTGTATATTCACATGAGAGTGTAAGTTAACATGCAGAATTGGGGTATTTCTAGCTAGTGAGCATTCGCTCAAAGACATCTTTTTAATGAGTATTATAAATCGCAAATATTATGATTAGATATTGCTAAGAATATATTACCATTTTACAAGAAAAGGTGTTAAATTCGCTCATCGTTAAAATTGACAATCACACGGTATATCGATGAAAAAGGGCTTTCATTTGATATATTAGAATATTGTAAATCTAAGTAAAACATAGAGAAATAGTAATCTTCAAGACTGCTGATTCTGCAGAAAAATGGGACAAAGAAGGGGCATGTTATACACGTATCATGTTTTATTATAAATAATATTTTTGACTAACAGTGTTCAAAGACCTTACTGGACCTAACTTGACGTTTTTTTTTCGTACTTAAGAATACTTGGTTGTAGTGATATTTTCGGTAACACGTTAATGCGATGTTAAAACCGATCTTTAGCTTCTTTTTTGTTGCATGTTAAATCCTAGCAACAAAAATTGTAAAATTGATCATTATAAAATAAAATTTGTTACTTTATGTAGGCACAATATTGATTACGATTTACGTAAATAAAATGCTTGCAAGCTTTGTGAAAATTCTTCCTTAAGCTTGTGACATTCGTATGTCTAGTTTGATCTGAAGGGCCTGCTTCCTTGTACATATGAAGGTTCATTGGTTTTCATTGTATTCAATTTGGTCAAAGTATTTTCTTCTTTTTATTAGAATAGGCTTATTAAACCTTATAATTACGGTCAGACGACACATTCCTCAAAAATATATAATTTTTCCCAAGAATTGGTCATTGATTGATTGATTGATTGTTTACTGTTTAACGTCCCTCTCCAGAATATTTCACTGATATGGAGACGTCACCATTGATTGATTGTTTACTGTTTAACGTCCCTCTCCAGAATATTTCACTGAAATGGAGACGTCACCATTGCCGGTGAAGGGCTGCAAATTTAGGCCTATGCTCGGCACATACGGCCTTTGAGCAGGAAGGGATCTTTATCGTGTCACATCTGCTGTGACACGGGGCCTCAGTTTATACGGTTTCATCCGAAGGACCGCCCCATTTAGTCGCCTTTTAGTCGACAAGCAAGGGGGTACTGAGGACCTATTCTAACCCGGATCCCCACGGGGCAATTGGTCATTGAAGTATAGGTACTTAAACAAGTTTTCTCACAAAAAAGTAGGGTACTTACCTGGCATTTGGACAAGATACATGTGCCAAAGGGCCATATTTCTTATATAACCTTTATGGTTAATCTTCTGAATTGCCTATATCACAATGTTTTGGTGTACTTATATTTAAAATCATTTTGAAAACGATGTAGAAATTGGACGAGAATGACAATTTTGAATATTTCTTTTTTATAAAATACAAAGAGATACAAAACATATATTTGAGGAACGTGTCGTCTGACCTTCATAATTATGTCAACGTTTTAATGTTTTTGTCCTCTATAGTGACCCTGAACATCTATAATATATTTGGTTTTTTACATGTTTAAGTACATTCAAGACATTGTTCGATTTGTTTAGTAGTTTAATGGTAAAAGTAAAAAAAAAAAAAACAAATACATGCGAATTTTATTCTTTTAGTAGTGTAATCTTGGGATGTAATTAAGATTTTCTAACATTTTGAGGAAAATCATGAAATGCCAATTTTTTATAAGAATTTTTAAGAATTACTATTCATTATTTTTATTAGGAAAAGTTTCAGAGGGTAAATCATTTACCAGTACATTATTCTGCTGGAAAATCAGTGCAATGATGCAACATTGATTTTCGATTCTATTTAATCTAATCATGATAAAATATTTATTTTCATAATAATTAACGTTTGAATCTATATTTAATTTGATCTCTCTATTCTTTTCATTTTCTACAGGATGTGCATTACTCTAATAACAACGTTAAAAGTATATTGACTTTGAAGTACGTACCATATCCAAAGGATGAAAAAGATCCATGTAAAAACAAAAGCGTTTTTAGAATAAAATTTAAAGTGTTCTTCATTTTGTTAATATAATATCATACGAGGAATAAACTACCAAAAAGTATTAATTCATCCTTTACTTTTTTTTTTGAATTGTAACCAGTACAAAAATTCAATATTAACTTTCTTTTCATATAAGGAAACTTTAAATAATTGTTACTCATATAGAACTACTCCTTTAGAATACGTTGATGTTGACACAGTCTTCCCATAATTATGTGCTTACCTTTCTCATTACGTCTGAATTAAACATAATTTAATTTTCATCTTAACAAAATAATGTGACAGCCTTTTCTTAAACATGCTGGACATCACGGTGAACTGTTCATTAATAATGATAATAATGATACAATAATAATAATACGAGAATAACATTATCACATAAAAAATAATATTATTATTCATTAAAGTTTTCATTTTTTTTTTCATTATGGCCATTACATAAGGAGTCTCAATTACAAACGTTCGACCTGATACTTTAAACCCCTTTTCTAAACTTTCACGCAAGAAATATCATCTTGCACTACACACAAATATTTCCACCAGACAAATATTTTAGCTCAAACATGTACTTTTTATTTCAGAAAAATACATTAAATCATCAAGTCTAAAATACATCCCATAGATATTTTGGTTATTCCGCCTCATACTTGGTTGAGCAGTCGCCCTCCATGATAATAACAATATGTTTCTTCATATTTTGTAACTATTAATGATTTCATGTGAAGAAAATCCTATTATCTATCGATCTCTGAAGTTTATCTTTTCTTTAAAAAAATACCTATATGTATTTTTACAGATAATTGCGAAAATGATGGATATAAAATAATGAATTAATTTTGAAATGAAAAAATTATTCATGGTTAATAAAACATATACTGACGTATGTTATATTGTCATGTAGGCATGATTGAATATGTTATCTGTAAACAAAATTTGCATAATACTTAATGGATTTGTTTTTAGTATTCTTTTTATAAAACATTAAGGTATGCCACTCGTGAAATTTGCTAAATCAAGGATTTTTCGAGAAACATGTTTTGGATAAGTACTCTATAGTATGACTCAAATTCGCAGAAAAAAGGGGTCAGTGTGCATCTTACTGAGCTACAGTACTTAAATTTTAAATCTTTGGTAAATTACATAAACTTTTATCATGATTTATCAAATAAATTGATGACAAAAAATATCATCTTATTTTACGTAAAATACAATGTAGTTTGAATGATATTTATTAATAGACAAATATTGCAAATTAATGCGTGCAAATTATAATGTGACCATTTTGCACTAAAAAGTAACATGTTTTGGGTATTTAAAATCTTAAAAGACAATAAGATATTTTCTTGTATCAAACTTTTTTCGATTTAAGTGCTGATGAGTCAAAGTAAATTTAATAAATATGCAGATTTTTAGAATTTTCTGCTAAATATCCTTCCACCACAAGAAACAGTCCTTCATAAATCTTTATTCTTTGTTGATTTTTGAGCAGTTTTTTTCATTGAATGTTGAATAATTAACAATGTTGAATTTTAATACGTTAGAAAATTGAATTATAATAAATAGTTTTGAAGTAAGGGATTCTGTATGTATTTTTCTCAAAAGCTGACGAATGACGCCGTCATACCTTAATATATTTCAATCGTTGTTATTCATACATGCTTTCATATGTGCCGTATCTTATCATAAAGTACTCGTAATCGAAGATTCGGGTATATATATATTTTTTGCTCTGACGGTCCGTCTGTCTTTTTGTCTGTTTGTTTGTTTGTCAGCAAAGATTTCTACTTTGAGATGGTGGTGTTATGGTCATTAACCTGGGTCATAACTATTGAATACTGTGTAGATGCTAGAACTGTTATATTTCACATGTTTATACACTTTTATAAGACTTTTCAAAGGGTAGAAATATTTTTAACCTTTTGACCTAGACCTTAGAGTTTGAAACACTTTTAAAGAATAAACTTTGGCCATCAACTTTTGAACATTTAGTATGTCTTTTTTATTTCAGGGGTGTATTCTTTGTGACAAGGCCTTCCTTTGGATATTAACAATTTTAACCTTGAACTTGGAGGTAAACGTGCACTTAAAAAACTTCAACTATAAGCTGCAATACAGTGGCATCCGTGTCAAAAACTAGGTTTTGCTTTTCTCATGAATAATCTATTGAAATATATGAATGTTTAATTTGTCTTACAGATATAAGTTCCACCATATAAATGTACGTTGTAAACACGATAAAATATTTGCAACATACAATTGCAACAATCATTTAGGTTTTTGGTTCGCTTATTCAATATAACATCAATAACATGCATTTTATGATGATATAAGTTGAAAATTAGAATATTTTTCGGATTTTCCAATTTCCTGGTAATCATGGATGTCGTCTGTTTGGTTTGCATGGATCTCTGTTCTAGTAAAATATGTTTCTGATCCAGCACTCTTTTCTTTCCAAATCCTTGTAATTTGTTTTCTAAAATAATACAACAAAAGTCTAAATAATACAGCAAAATGTAAAAAGAGCATACATATTGCTCGCATACATATTGCTCACATATGCATCTGTAAAAAGAATTTAACTTCGTTCTTTTAGTATGGGTTCAGGTTTTCTAGAGAAGAAAACTTCAAGAATTATTTTTTTTTAATTGATGAATAGCAACGTTTATCTGCAAATTGTGACACCATCTACTTCATTTACTTTAAAGAAAAAAAATTAGAGGTACTGTAAGCAGTGAGCTCACTAAATGAAGCCCCTGCTTCCCATATGGTTATGTTGACAAAGTCTATGTTTCGCATAGGGAGACCGGAAATGTCAGATCAAATGGTAAAATGGGATTGCACAGACTACTGCAGTTAAACTTTCGTGATATGTTGCACCTTATTTTTGCCATATACTAGTATTCAATCATTCTTTATAAGCGATACAAAACTTTGACAAATTCTTGTTATTGTTCTATTTAAACTTAAGGAAAACTAATATACGCTAAAATAATTTTTTCCGACCACACTGTCTTGCATAGTTTTGCAAAAAAAATGTTCTTGTGCAAAAAAGTAAAAAAATAAAGTAAAAAAGTTATTCAAAGAAAAACAAAGCTAAAAAAGGAGAGCTTCCGACTAAAAATGAACTTTTAATTAGGAAATTTCCATGTGGCACAAAGTTAAGACTTGCATAAATAAACAGGAAAAAAAGAGTTTGCGATGAAAAACAATGCACTGCAGATTTTTATTCGTGTTAAAAATGTACCTTTTAAAAACAGCAATCGTAACCAGGCATAATACGTTGATAATTCCAGACGATACTACTGCAGCTAGTAGAACCGTTCTTGACGTTTCTTTTTCCCTGTATTTTCCGTATGTCTGAACTGCAAAAAAGGGTATTTTTTATTTATCAAAGAAAGTATTAAATAATATACGTATAATATGAACAGTGTATATGTATATTTGACTACTCTTTCATTTCTAAGGTTTTGTAATTTTCCTTTACTTTCACAATATCAATTCAATATCCTATCATTTTCGATGCCATTTTTTGTTCAGACTTTAACATGTATTTGTTTTCCTTTTAAAGTGAACACATATGCGAATTATATATTTATCGTACTTCATATGTCCTGTAATAAATGTCGCAACATTTGCAGAAAATACGAAATCTAATTACACGGGTTGTGCACTTTTTTCCAGCAAGACATAGCGTACTTCCGTTTAAATGCCATCTTGATCCCAATGATCTTATTCAAATTCACTCTACACCGATAAATCATCGAGAATAACACGACATGCGATATTGTGGAAGGAATGTTGTCCAATACGTATCTTTTATTAAAAAAAGAATTGTTTGTCAATTATACAATTTTTTATTTGATTTAAACAAAATATATTTACAAACTAATTAAAATAAATATGATTTTGAGGTGAGGAAAAGCGATGTAAATTATTGATTCTCAATATGCTAATTCATTATTACTTGTCAAAACGCCATACACTCCGAAATATCTATTTTTTTCATAATAATAATAATAATAATAATAATGATTGGATTTATATAGCGCTTTTCTAACATAAATGCTACTCAAAGCGCTTTACAATCATTATTACCCCAGCAGACCTTAACAAACCAGAATCTTTCTCAGTGCAAGCTGCCGTAATCAGCGCTAGAATACTAACATTCTGACAATATCTTTCACTGTCTATAGCCAGGTACCCCTTT